CCTTTTTCTTCTGCAATTTAAACTCAAGCCAACTCGTTTCTGTTTTGAGAAAATCCATCTTCGCCTCCATTTTCAAAACTTTGTTTGTTAAGTTTCCCATCGCTCTTACCGCGTGGACATTCCAAATGTCAAATGTTAGCAGTAATTAAAACATTATTACTTCAATCGGATGTTATGGTTTCTTGATAAGGAAGACAATTAAGACCCGGCACAAGATACAAAATACGTAAATTCAAAGAACATTTTATTTTCTACAGGCACGTAGCAACAGGGAGACAAAGGGGAGGGGGTCCAACTTTTTTCTAAACATTACTTTTACTATTGAAAATGTTCATTGAAGTACAGGTAGGCCCCACCCAGTTCCCAGCAGGCACACAACGTTGTTTAAACGTTGAATATTAGTTGAAGTTGGGTTTAGACGTTGATAAATATAGATACAATATTGATTCAACGTTGACTTTTCAACGTTGAAAATTTAACGTTGAATCAACATTTTAATTTAAATTGAGTTGAATTGCTAACATTGATTCAACGTCGGATCTACGTTGAGAGGACCAATCCTATTTATCGTAGATAAATAAATTTGGACTTTGATAGTTTCGGACTATAACACTGTCGGACCATAACGAGGTCGGACTTGACAGTTGCACTACCGTATATTACTACTAACTATTATAACTAACAAGTATGGAAAATATAAAAAGTTTAAACATTCAATGATGAATATGAATTCAGTACAAATTTGCCAAAGTACGAATTAAGAGAATACGCAGTAGGACATCCGCAAAATATTCAAAAAGAAAGCATAACACAACCCTCAGGACTCAACACCAAGATTTAATTTAAAAAAAAACTCTTGAAAGAAAACATTTCGGCATGTCAGAGTACTAGTATCATTGAAAAGACATAATTTGTTGAAATGCATATCTGGTGCATCAAAAGTTGTACCGTGTAAGATTTGCATCTGACCTTGGTTCATGTTCTGGACTATTTCATGACCACATGTGAAAATACAAAACGTTTGTAAATGCTCGGGTTTTGTAACATGATTAATTTATACAATGTATTTTGGTGAAAATTATTTAACACAATTAACTATTGATAGGAAATTAAACACTTACTGTTTACAATATATAATTTTTTTTTCATGTAGTGATATACCGTATGTTTTCTTTTAAAGGGTCCCGACCCTCTGCTATAAATTTCACCTGTGGTTGTAAGAAAAAAATATATATCTGTGATGAGGAGTTATCTTTCTTCTAAATATTACTTCATGTGGAAAAAATTTTATTCTAATTAAAATACTGTATTATGTACTTGAAATATTAAACCATTTTTAAAATGGTACTTAAAAAGATACAACTTATTCAATTTATAAGGCATTTGATGTTGGATTTAAATGTTTTATTGTTAAATATAATAAAACAATTACAAGAAATTTTCAAAAGAAATAGAAAGTAATGTTTCCATCCTATGTTTGATCTTGTCAAATTGACTACTATCATTGAAAGTTATGTGTCTTATCAGAGGGTCGCTATCCTTTCAATAATTATGAAGGCATCTTAGCAACCGTGCAATAAAACAGTTGAAATTTTAAGCAAGTATATTAATATTATGATAAAGTAATATAAGGGAAATGCAGTATTGTATGCAGAATAAAATTGGAACTGAAAGCAGTCGGCATCTAAAAAAGCTGGCCTCCAACCGCATCCCCCCCCCCCCGAAATATGATTTTCGAGTTTGGGCAGTTTTTGTTCTTGCTTGTCAACTTAGTAAAACAAAACATTTTGTCTGCCCCCCCTCCCTCCACTTTCAAAAACGATGCTACGTGCTACCGGTCTGTTCTAGATTCAGTTATATTCAATTTGTATCTACCGGTAATATAGATGTAGTTTGCAAGAAAAAAATTATTTGTTAAATAATTGAATGCATTTGATTGGTTGAGTAAATTAATGTGTATTCATTGGTTTCTTTGGGAACACAGGAACATTTGTGTGAATCGTACATGCCCTGCTTTTACAAATTCGAACATTCTTCATTCAGCTTGTAAGATATATCCATATCCTTCTTCCTGTGTAATTATTAATTTTAAAAACAGATACCTTAAATTATTTTAAATCAAAGGATTTAATTGGGTCTAAATCACCAGCTGCAGTGGAAGGGTAGTTTGGGAAATTATATATATTTAGATAAAGGAAATTGCTTTTGAATTTTATTCATTTCCAGTTAATATTTTCTATCTTTGTTATTTGTTCACTCAAATAATTCTATGACTTATGTCTATTTTCATAAAACAATCAATAATAGTACCACATTTCAAATATTCAATATCAATACATGGGCCTACGGTGGGCGTCACCGGTTGACAAGTAATGCTAATTCCTCTGCAAAATTATTTTGTATAAACACGTGCTGATTGCACACACAAGTACTCTGAAGTTGACATCAAAGAGATGCTTGAGTTTCTGATTGACAATATCTATGTTGTTTTTGGATACCAGGTATTCCTACAATCTATTGGAATTATCATGGGTACCAATTGCGCTCTGTTATTAGCAGACCTATTTTTATATTCATATGAAGCAGAATTTGTGCACATGCGTGAAAAGAAGAAAACACTTCAACTTAATTGGCCTTCAACTCGACATTTAGGTATATCGACGACGTATTGTTAATTAACAATGGTAATTTCCATTCCTACGTCGATACGATATATCCTGGTGAGTTTGAGATAAAAGATACCACAGAGTCTGACATATTTGTTTCAAACTTGGATATTTCACTTGAAAAAGACGTTAATGGTAATTTTTCAGCCTAGCTATATGATAAACGTGATGACTTTAACTTTTCTATCGTCAACTTCCCTTACTTATGCAGTAATATACCGTGATCACCTGCATAGGAAGTATATATATCTCATTTGATTCGATACGCAAGAAGATTTTCAACGTATGAACAATTTCTTAAACGAGGTAAATTATTGACAAGCAAGTTGACGAAGCAAGAATATCAGCAGTCTCGTTTAAAGTCATCATTTCCTAAGTTCTATGGTCGATACAATGACTTTGTCAGCAAATACAGTTTATCTTTGAGTCAAATGCTAACTGACGTTTTTCATACCAATTGTTAGTCCATTATTTATACCCTGAATTGACGACAGATTTCCCCGTTATTTCCTGATCATGACAAGGAGCACACGGCGGGTGTGACCGGTCAGCAGGGGATACTCACATCTCCATGGCACTGATTCCACCTCTGGTGTTTCGGAGATCCGTGTTTGCTCTGCTCCTATTTTGTATTGTTTTATGGACATTGAGATTAAATACTGTTCGTTATCTCCATATCCTTCTTAGGCACATGTTCCAAACACTTGTATACCACAGATCTGTAGTAGTATTTTTCGTTACTTATATATTTTCATATACTTAAATACGAGATTTGATCCAAAATATTGTCACAAATACTATAAAATCTTTATTAATCAGATGAAAACAAAGCAATTTGACTAATTTATGCAAAGTCTATTACAAAATTTAAAAAAAATGAAAAAATGAAGAATGTAAGTTGGAACATGTTAAAGAAATACAGAATATGAAGTGATACTTTCTTTTAGGCGAAAGTGACAAGATCATTCATTTATATACATAACATATATCATCATTGTTAACTGTATTTTATTCACATTGATCTTGTATTAAGTAAAACTAATTATAAAAGGAAACCGGAAAAAGTGGTAATTGGCCCAGTGCTGTAATAACCTTGACCAGAGTGATGCTTGACCCATACTGCATCCCCCTTCTGGATAGAAAGCACAACCAAATTGGGTCCCGAGTCGTAATCATAATCCTTTCCGTTACTCCATGCCATAGTCCTGACTTTTGTCGATCCATTCAACACAATATTTACATAGATAGTTTGTTTATCATAACTCTGAACATTGACAAAAAAGACGTAGGTTCCGCTGATAGGAGCTGTAAATATTCCGTTACTCGGGTTGTACCCATTTCCTTCATTTGTGATGACGGAAGGAAAAACTAGAGTCCCACTATTCCATGTTGAGCTGGAAGAAGTCCTTGAGGCGGAGAAACCTACCTTTTTTGATTTACCTACAAATATGATTTTGGTTACTATTAAAAAATATTGAAGATTAAAGAAGATTACAAGACCCATGATGTATGCATAATAAATTTTGAAAAATGAACATGTTAAGGTCCTAGGTTTTACATTTAGCGAAAGTTGATGAATTCTTCTTAGATATCAATTATTTGTTTTTGCAGAATGGAAAAAGAAAAATTAAAACCAGAAATCTCTGACGAAAATGTAGCTTTACTGCTTTTTACTTTAATCATATGTTACTTTTAACGACGAAAGAGAAAAGAAGAATTTGAACTTGAAACTTTGCATCAGCAATAAGTTAAAATTTAATCATTGTTTTTGTCATTTTATTTTATTTTATTGAAACCAGGCCAAATATGTAGAAGGAGTAGTATTCTGAAATTATTTCAAAGAAATTTCTATTCTAGCAACCATGAAAAAACTGTTCTTTGAAACCAAAAACCAATATAAAGAATTATGCATTTAAGTCTAGACTACTTGTGTCCCAAGTTATATTAAAATTAGAAGAAAAAATATAGAAGCAGTAACAATTTGAAAATATTAAATATTTTAAAGAAATTTTTATTCGTGGTTATCAAGTCAACACCATTCATTTTAATAAAAAAAATTTATACACAGAATTGTGTATCTTAAAGTATTCTTATTGTGTGCAATGTTATATTGAAATCAAACCAAATCTATAAGAATTGTAGCTTTTGAAAATATTTCATAAAAATTTGCATTAATATGAAATTATTTTATAGAAATTTCTATTTTAGTAACCATGGCAACACCACTCATCCGAATCAAAAACTGACACACAGTATTATGTATCTCACTGTAGTCTACTTTTGTGCTAAGCTACATGTATATTGAAACCAGACCAAAACTGCAGGAGGAGTAGCATTTTAAAAATATTTTGTAGAAATTCCCATTTCAGTAACGATGGCAAGAACGTTCATGAAAATCAAAAACCGACTCACAGAATTATACATTTTAGCATGTTTATAATGTACTTGTTTCCAAGTTAAATTCAATTCACTTTATTACGTAAGACATACATCTTATTGTATACAATATAAATTTATAACATGTAAACAGTAAAGCATAGCGAGGGTATTTATTAACAGTCAGCATACTTATTATACAATCAATATCATGATGATGGAGAATGTACAAACCATTTTTAATTTGTTTATAAGGCAATATGACATTCATCACGTAAATTAAAGGCATGGTACAAAACTTTTCCCAAATTACAAAGGTCCTTAACATTATGTGCAGATAACAACTGTATGAATTTAAACATAGATGGTTTTTCCCAGTAGTATTTTTTAATATATTTTACTCTTAAACCCTTGTATCGTGGACACTTTAAAACAAAATGAAATTCATCTTCAATTTCAGAACTACAAACTTCACATATTCGGTTTTCGCGCAAGATATTTCTATGGCGTCCACTTTCAATAGCTAAATTATGTGATGACAGTCTTATCTTACTAATTTGCTTTTTATAAATGGATGGAATAGGTTTCACCAAATAATATTCCAGTGTGAAGTGGTCAATAATGTATTTAAATAACATACATCTAGATGAACTATTGATATCAGCAAGGAGATTTTGTACATAGTTGTCAATAATTCTTTGCTTTATAATTGAAAGCAGTCAAAACTAATGAAAATATTATCAAAGATATTTTTATTTTAAGTAACGATGGCAACACTGTTCATCGAGTAGTAAAGGTAATAAGGAAACATATCGCAAAGTGCGACCTTGTATAGTTCTATAACTTCTTATTGTTTTCTCATTAATTTTAAGTTATTACCTAGTATGTTATTCGTCAAATTCATTCGGAACACCTCGAGAGAGGACACAGCAGAAGACAGCTGCAGTTGGTCATTCTTTGATTGCTTTACTTCCGCCATCATGTCCTCTAACGTTTCGCTGATGTTCACTGAAATAAAAATGTAAGATGAATAAATTTTTCGACATATATATAAATCTAACATGTGCATTTTGATATCAGTACAAATTATTATCATTAGAATTTATTCATGTTTATGGACTAGATGTAAGATTTGCAACAATTATAAGATAAGCAACACTTAATTATAAGTAACACTTAAAGCGGCATGGACACAGATTTAGCTAAAATTTCAAAATTTATTTTTCCATTTCAACAAATATTTAACTAGGGTCTTTCTAATGATCATCAACAATTTGAACGCCAGTTGTCCAGATACGAGACAGATTTAGAGCTTCAAATCTTTGTTATTTAAACAAGGCAAGTGGCATGTTTTTGTTTACACAGGTTAAAATACTAATATATTTTCGTTCAAAGTAGATAATTTGAAATAAAAGTTAATTTTATATACGATTCGACAGTTTCTACGTATTGACTTGCTGAACTTTATTTTGTTATCAATAAGTTATTTCCTATATGTAAACAAAAACAAGGCACGAGTCTTGTTTCCATTATGAAAAACTTAAAGTTCTGAATATTGTTTGTTAATCAACAAATGATTTCCAAATTTTAATAATCGATAGACGATGCCTTAGGTAGAAGTTGTAAACATTAAAATTGTATTTAAAAAGTCAGTAGAAACTGTGTCCAGGCCCCTTTAACATATTATATCACTCGACACATTTCTCCAATTATTAATTTAATCTATTTTATTCCCAAATAAACAATGTTTAACACTGTATTTTTTCTATAAAATATTTTAAAAGAAAATAATAGGATAGATTTATTAAGAATGATCAAAATGAAGTTTGAAAGAAGCTTTTCGTGCAATACTTTCATTTTTTGTATCTTAATTTGTGACAGGATTATGATTCTTTAACAATTAGACATTTTATTTAAAATATACATGTACTTGAGTATTTGTTCTTGTAAAATGATTATTTATAATTACTATTTGCGAAGAAACAATTATCGGTATAAACTTTACTGCTTTATGACTTCAGTAACATGAGTATTTTCAATACCTAACTGCTGAATTGTATCCTAGGAACGACTTACAACAAACATTGATAGATTATACATTAATATTTACAACTAGTTCAATTTTATGTTTGTACATTTACTTATAACAATTCTCGATCAGTAATGTTCGAAACATGAAATGAAAGAATGTTAAATTTTTCTTTACATAAATATATATTTTTCCTCCATATTCCTGAAAAATCCACCCTATTTGCAATTTCTATAAGATGCAATACTCATTATAAGAGCTTATACAACATGTACAAAGCAAAAAAGCATTAACTTACCCGATATAGAATTCTGTATAATAGTTTGTGATTTTTCGAGGTCAGACACGGATTGTAATATTGTTTTATTTGTCGTCATTATATCATTGTTCAAGTTCTCCACAGAAGTGTTCAATCTCAAAGATAACTGTTCATATTTTTCCTTCATCATTTCAGGAAATTTCCTGTCCATTTCCAAAGTGTGTTTATTTAAGTCCAGAAGGGTCACTGACAGGTACCGAACTTCCACTTTAAGATCCGCCAGGACTACACTAGTGTTTATCTCAAAACGTTCTCTTTTCTCCTCCAACTCTTCCACAACCTGTTGAATGTGTTCGTCGACTTTGGTGAAATTTTCTGCAACAATTCTGAAAGTTTCTTCATATTGCCTATTTTCAAGTTCAAGTCTTTGGTTTTCTCTTTTCAGTTTATCAACCTCCTGTTTTAAGGTGGCCATCTCTATATCTGTTTTCTGCTGGGATGTTTCCAATGTCTCCATACTTTTCTTCAGATCCAGCATGTCTTTCATTAAAGCGTGAACGTTCTTCACCAGTGACATTCTGATGATTGTTTCTTGGTTTAGTAGTTGTCGGAAGACGTCCGTATTTTTGGAGTCCGGATCACTCATGTCCAGTAAAGATGAACTGTTGCCACTGCTGTCCGTGAATATGGACAATCCATTTATTTGTATGAGAAAAGCAAACATTAACGTGAACAGCAGTGTTTGCTTCATCTTGAAAATCAGAGAAGTGATAGTGATCCGAGAGAATATTGAGCCTAATATACATTTGCATATAAACTTTGACCTTTTTTTCTATTGATGACACATGCGCAAGATGCAAATTCATTTAAACATGACTTGGTAAACATTTAGATTGTTTTCGACTCTTTTTGACGTAAGTCAACTTCCTCTTTAATGTTTTAATCTTTTTATCATAAAGTTAAAAGAAATTCTTATAGAAATAAAATCCAGCTAAAAAATATTTGAAATGTACATTTATGTCAAAAGAAAAGCATCTAATATGACACTCTCTATGCTATTAAACATGTTTTTTTTTATTATTATTATTTCATTTTATATTATTTTGGGGATGGATTGGGGACGCGGGTCTTTTCATTTTATAAAAAAAGGAAATTTATCCCTAAATATATGAGTGCTTTTTAGATTCACTGCATTGGTCTTAATACCTTTAGCATTTGAAAAACGTCTACTTCCAGGTTGAAGTGTTTAAGGGAAAAAATAATGCCTTAAAATGTGCCCATGATACATTTTTACATAGACCGTGATGATTCTGAAAAATGTAATTTCGTAGTCTCTTTTCAAGACTTCTATATAAACCTATATGTAATCTTCTTGCAGTACTAGTAAAAGCAGTGAATTACCCATGGTCGACAAGATTCAGTTTAGGATTCATAACATTCTAGTAATTTTGCCTTTGTTCATGATTTGATGTTCACAAATATTCCATATATAATTTCCTAAACAACTTCAACCCTTTCCCTCTGCTAGCACCGTCCTGTTTGCTTTGAGCTTAAAAAGAACATTCAAAAGTCAGTTATAAAGTGGACATTCGGATAGTTTAAGGAAAAATACACAGCCGTATCATTTTGTAACTAATGACCTATAACAATTAGTATATAAAAAGTCAGTTATCATTTGATTCAAAGATAGATTCTATTTGTTGACAAGGTTAGTGTATCGACCACAGAACTTGCAACATGAAGGCTTTAAACGAGACTGTTGATATCCTTGTTTCATCGACTTCTTTGTCAATGAATTTATTCTAAAATTACTCATATGTAGAGCATTTTCTTGCTTATCGATCAACTGAGAGACACTAACTCTATATGCATGTAATAATGATATATTGCTACATATAGGTAGGGGAAGTTGACGATTGAAAAGTTAAAGTTATCACGTTTATCGTTTAAGGCGTAATTATTAGCTTATCATTATCGTCTTTGTGTAATAAAATATTCAAATAATAACAGATGTGTCAGTCTCTGTGTATCTTTTAAAAAATAATATAAAGTTGTGGCAAGTAAAAAATAATACAGTAAATTAAATATCAGATATGAATTAGCTTAATATTATTTATGCACACGTTCTGTACAATATGCTCGCCAACCGAATTAACAACCGAAGACTAGATGGCATTCAAAATCTACTCATAGTACTTTTTTACTGAAAACTTGCTCTTTCAAGTTCTTCGAAGTCTGACAGATGTCTTTTCTCCACTGAGGACAGATAAAAATCTGTTAAAAAGTGCTGTTCTGAAAGAGATGCAAAACATAATTTTTATTAAGTTAGAAAACCGGAAAAGGTTGTAATGGGTATTCCCTCGCTGTAATAATTTGACCCACTATGACATCTTGCCCACACTCTGTCTCCTTGTTGGAGATTTAGAGTCACAAGATTGGATCCAGAATCGTAGAAATCTTTACACCTTCCTCCGTCAGACATTGTCATCACTTTGGCTCCTCCATTATGTACAATAGATACATACAATGTGTCACTGCTATACCCCTGGGCACTGATATAGAAAACATACTGTCCGGCCGTGGGGGCGGTAAAGATCCCTGTACCTGGGTCTTATCCACCTCCAACGTTATTGATGACCACAGGAAATACTAGTGTACTTCCGCTTTCGATTCCACCAGCACCAGTTGTACCAGCTGTAAAGGCAACCTTCTTTGAGGAGTCTAAAATAATTAAATAATGTCGAGGTAGTTATATAGTATAGAGAAATCAGTGCTATAGAAGAAAATCATTGTATTTGACAACAGGGAAAAATGTCATTATACTGTTGTTAATAAGAATACCAGATAATTGTTTCATTGCGAATTCCATGTTTTAAAGATTAATAATAATTTCTTTAATAGCAAATTTAAATTTTTAAAAAACGAAACAACGTGTCTTTTGATAACCATCATGTGTGAACTTGTGGAGCTTAATCAAGTACGAGTTTTACAACATGACCCCTGTTTTATAGGAATTGATGCATACATTAAACACAATCTTTCTTTCATTTCATTCTTTACAAAATTATGCTGCATTTAATTTAAAAACATTTACTGATGGATATTTATTTGCAATAATGATTAGCTAAAGTAACATTTTATATTATAACTGTTTACATTGATATGTTAGCATACTCGTAGGCGTTCCAGAAGAAGACTATGATTACCTACCCTCAACTCCTTTCAACAAATTCTTATTTGCATTGATGAGGTGTTCCACTTTCTTTCTCAGATCTGTATTTGATGAAATTAAACTATCGATCCTCTTCTCAGTCAGAATTATGTATGTAATGAGAAAAGCGAGAAATAAACCTAGAAGAGCTTCTCTTAACATGTCGATAATGGAATAGAATTTCAAGTTAGGTCAGGTTTTTGACTGTTGGACATTTAAATATCCTAAATATTTACATCATACATGCAGGATCCCAGATTATTCTTCAGGACATTTAAAAAGATTTGGACGATTTTTATTCTATTCTTTAAAAAGAACTGTAATCGAGGAAATTGAACAATACTTTTTCAATTCAAAATTTGCTAAGTCCTGCATTTCTAACCCTACCTCTGTCCATAAAACTCCAACAAATGCAAATAAACAGCATCTATTACTAGTTGTTAATACAGTCAATAATCTCAATAACAAATTAGAGGACAACGAAAGTGTTGTTTATACATTGAATCAAACTTCTAAGTGCTGACCTAACATTTCACGTTAAAAAGAACAGATACCTACAATAAATAATTTCTTTAATACATGGTTAACGAGGCATATTTCAGTTCAATGTTGCATAAATTTCATTTATGTATCTCGTCAGATTTTAAAGCAAAGTGTCAAGGACATGATGTGTGCCCTCAAAATGAAAATTCACGAAAAAATTATCTCTATGGAGTAAGACCACCACTGGCTCTATTTACCACAAGACATACTTTTCTCATGGATACCATGTATCCCTGAATAGGAGATTGATCCATCTACTGCTTCATCTACTGCATGGATCTTTCTAAACCGTTGAAATTGAGTAGAGGGGTTGACATTTCTTTTAAAAATCCCAAATGTCTTCAATTGGATTTCGGTCCGGGGATTTGGCAGACCAGAGCATAACAGAAATGCCTTGTAGTCAATATCCTTTGGCGTTTTGCATGTAAGTGTCCTCTTTAGGGATGATTCAGACTGTTTAAGAAGATATTGGACTGCCATGAGCACCAGTTCTTACCATTGAAGTTGTTGGTTCAAATGTTTCTAAAGTAGTTTAGGAACATGAAACATTCTTTTAACGTGGTCGTAACGCAAGACCTTGGCCTGACACGAAGATTTCAATGAAATTTGAACTCGTAAATTTACTTATCTTGTCATTGGTCATTTGCAAAATTATTTTGTTAAAAAAAATTTTGATTGCACACACAAGTACTCTGAAGTTCACATCATGAAGATGCTTGAGTTTCTGATTGACAATATCTATATGGTTTTTGGAGACGAGGTCTTCCAACAATCTATTGGAATTCCCATGGAAACCAATTGCGCTCCGTTACTAGCAGACCTATTTTTGTATTCATATGAAGCAGAATTTATGCAAAATCTTATGCGTGAAAAGAAGAAAACACTTGCTGTGGACTTCAACTCGACCTTCAGATACATCAACGACGTATTGTCAATTAACAAAGGTAATTTCCATTCCTACGTCGATACGATATATCCAGGTGAGCTTGAGATAAAAAGATACCACACAGTCTGACACATCTGTTTCATATTTTGATATTTTACTTGAAAAAGACGTTAATGGTAACCTAACAACCAAGTAATATGATAAACTTGACGACTTTAACTTTTCTATCGTCAACTTCCCTTACTTATGCAGCAATATACCTTCATCTCCTGCATACGGAGTATATATATCTCAGTTGATTCGATACACAAGAGCATGGTCTACGTATGAACAATTTCTGAAACGAGGTAAATTATTGACAAGCAAGTTGATGAAACAAGAATATCAACAGTCTCGTTTAAAGTCATCATTTCGTAAGTTCTATGGTCGATACAATGACCTTGTCAGCAAATACAATTTATTCTTGAGTCAAATGCTGAACGACGTTTTTCATACCTATTGTTAGTCCATTATCTATACACTAAATTGACGACGGATTTTTTCGTTATTTCACGATCATGACAATGAGTACACGACAGGGTATGCTCACTCCTCCATGGCACCTGATCCCACCATTTTTTTCGTAAATCGGAATTTAGAATTTTATCTTAATCAAGATTACTAGCATGTTGTTTTACGTAACACTCAAGAATCTTATACTTATACAGAGACGTCATTTTATGCTGGTAAAAGTCTTCAAATTTACTCTGAACTTGGTGACATTGAGCAGTGAGGGTTCTTTATCGTGACAATGCCTTTCGTGACATAAGGTAGTATATATTTTAAATTGTTCAAATTATGATTCCCGGGGAAGCCGTGGCCACAATTTGGAATCCAAGTTTTACATTGAAATATATAGGAAAAAAATTTTAAAATATTTTTTTTAGAACCACTGGGCCCGAAAAGCTGAAAATGATGTGGAAGCATCCTAAGGTAGGGTAGATTCTGAGTCTTCAAATTATGAACCCCTAGGGGTGGATGAATTCACAGTGGCTTTTACCATGGGGATAATCACGTATCATTGCGCCATCACTTCATCGACATAGACTATCGCAACATCGCCATTTCATCGTTATCGCATCATCGCTTCATCGTCATGGCATTATCGTGTCATCGCACTATCGACCCAAACTTCGATTGTGCGATGAAGCGATAGTGAACTACGTGGCCCTATCCAGATTCCATACATTACCCTTATATTACACTTGATTGACAATACTGCAACCAAATCTGGGAGGGGCAACCGGACTTTTAATGAACCTTTCCTGTATAAAAACTGAAGTCTAGAAAAATAAGTGACCCCCCCCCTCCCTGATGCTACGTGCCTGTAAAGATAGTTTTTACTATGTTTACGGGCATTAGCTTTGTGAATCAAGGTTTGCAAAATAATTTGATAAACATCAGCCTTTTCTGGAAACAGAAAAGGTTTGATATGCTACTGACTCTCACAATGCTGGTTAATTTGCTGTACGATCCTGAATAAGTAATGACCTTTATTCTGTAGAAGTTGTCTGTCCTTTTCTGACTGTACACATGGTTTGAAATAAGTTAGAAAATGTTTCCTCAATGTTTTTCTGTCATTTGTTCTCTGCCTGATCTCATGATCTACATTTCATTGTTCTTGTAAATCCAATTTTCCGTACTTTCTTTTAATAGTATAATAATATATTGTGCAAAACAGAACAAGGAAAAACATTAATTACTCTGACTAATGACCTGGTCCATTTTTATAATCGTCATCTTTTCCTTTGTCACTTGTATCAGTAAACTCTAATTGGTGCTGTGTCAAACTTTGATTCTCAGTTATCTTAATCCATGAATAAAAAAAATTTAAAGAAATCTTTATTGCAAGTAAGTATACGAATAATTTTAACTCTCAAATGGAGACAAAAACATACAAAAGCTTAGTATCAGTGGTTTTACAGTTTTGGATTTACAATGCATATCATTTTAGGTTAAGACAATATAAATAATGGGTTTAATAATAGTATACTTTTTTTTAGAAATAACAAGCAAAAGAAAAGGAATTTTCTAACAACGATACAACTTAACAATGCAATGTATTCCAATAGACACAAAAAAGAGCAATGTTAGTATTCTACGATAGCAAAATTGTTTGCAATAGCAACAAAGTTGTTTAAAATGTTTATGCTTGTCTTAAACGTGATACAAATAGCAATTGGTCTCAAATAAAAGATTAGAACTTCTGTCATTAGTTTTGTAATATATTAAAACATGATATCTGAACTAATCAGTTTTGACCAATTCCTTCTGAAGAGATTTTAAAAATGAATTAACTATAAAACTTTTTTCTTTAATTTTCACCTTCCATTTATCATGTAGATAGATCCCTTTCCAAATTTAACAATTAAATATAAAATTGAATGTCAGATGAATCATGAAGATTATCAATATTTTAAAGAATACTCTGAATTTTTATGGGAGTTTAATTTTTGTGATTTTCAAGTCATTAAGAGACCCACGAATTTATGTCCTACAAGATATATAATTCACAGATATAACTAATAAACAATTCTTCATCCTGTAAATTAAATCCCCACGCACCCATATTTTCCATTAAACCACGAAAGTTTGGCTCCAAGAAAATATACGATTTTACAGTATTCTTAATTACAGTGTTCCATTTTCAATCAAACTGCAACATATGTTATTCATTTGTAAAGGAACATGCATAATCAATGCCTATAGCATGCACATCGAACTTTTAAAGATTTGATTACAAGTGTATGAGAAAACCGGAGAATGTAGTGATAGGACCATTGTTGTAATAGCCTGAACCAGTGAAATATTTGATCCACACTGCGTCTCCCTTCTGAATAGTCAGCACCACCATATTGGGACCCGCATCGTAATAATCATGACCATTTGTACCATAGGCCATTGTTCTGACTTTTGTTGATCCGTTCAACACAATGTCTACATAAATATTTTTATTTTGGTAACTCTGAATATTCACAAAGAAGACGTACATTCCGGCGATAGGAGCAGTAAATATTCCGTTACTTGGGTTGTATCCATTCCCTTCATTAGTGATGACGGAAGGAAATACAAGTGTCCCGGAATTCCAAGAACTGTCGGTGGATGACACTGAGGCGGAGAAACCTACCTTCTTTGATTTATCTACAAATATAATTCAAAGTTAGTTGTCTTTTTTATTTACTTATTGAAGATTTAGGAGATCCAATTAAGGAATTATAGATCGTAATTCGTGCATCTAATCAAAACTTAGCAAAAGTTGAGAAATAATACCAGGTACTTGTTTGTGGAGAATGAAATAAGCAGACAGATAGCAAAGTGCGACCTTGTATGGTGTTTTCAATTCTTACTGATTTATTTTTAGTTGTTACCTAATATGTTATTCGTCATATTCATTCGGAACACCTCGAGAGAGGACACGACAGAAGACAGTTGCAGCTGTTCATTCTTAGATTGTTTTACTTCCGCTATCATGTCCTCTAATGTTTTACTGATGTTAACTGAAATGAAAATGGGAAAAGAAAATTAATTTTTCGACATACATAAATCTAACATAAGTTTGTGTATTCTGAGAGCAGTACAAATTATCATCATTAGAATTAATGAATGTTAAAGAATTAGATGAAATATTTTAAGCAACATCTAACATATTATATCACTCGACACATTACTCAAATTATGATTTAAAAATATTTTTATTCAAAAATAAACAATGTTTTACATTGTATATTTCCGATAAAATATTTTTAAAAAATATAATGGAAATAGGATTATCTAAAATGAACACAATGAAACTTGAAAGAATTTTTTTTGTGTGCAACAATTTTTATTTATTTATTAATTTTTATTTTATTATTTTTTTTTTGTATCTTAATAGATGGTAAGACTAAAAAATTCGATTTTTAAGTAGACATTTTCCTTTATATACTTGAGATTAAATATTTTCCTTGTGTAATAATTATTTGTAATGAATATTTCTAAAGAAAAATATCGGTATATAGAAATTACACATTGCTTTGGGAGTTCAGTAACACTTTTTCATAAGCATTTTCAATTAATTAACTGCTGAATTGTAATACCTTAAGAATGACATCAAAACATTGACAGATTATGCATTTCTAAATACTAGTTCAATTTTATGTGTGTACATTAAATTCTAAATGTTCTGGATCAGCGATGACCATAAAAATTAGAAAAGTCAAATTTTAATATTCATTTACGTGATCTACTGTATTATCCATCTAGAGAAATCTAAAATATTGAGAGAACACCATCCCCAAGAGACCATGTTCCTGAGAAAATGTACCATTGTGGCAACGCACTTTGAAAAAAATTACGCACTTTGAAAAAAAATTTCAAAGTGCGTTAAAGTTGGGACAAAATCAACGCACTTTGTAAAAATTTTTCAAAGTACGTTAACTTTTGGACCAACTCAAAAAATTTTCAAAGTGCGTTAAGAGTCTACATCAATATATTTTACCATGGAGACACTTAACGCACTTTGAAAAAAAAATCATATTTTAGTCATGGAAAGATTTTATTTGTTATTTATCTTTCAAAAAACTAAGCCTAACCCTAACCTCAAAAATGAATTGATTTACACCCGTCGAAAAGAGGAGAAGACGGGTATAAGATCCCTCAGTCCAAATTTATACCCAAAGCATTCATATAATTATGTATCAACCTAACTGGTGTTACGATACTCTAAAATTATTTATAGATATTGCGTCACTATAGCTATTATTTTTATTGTGTGACGTCACGTTCCCTTTCGGAAGTTCTCGGATGTCGCGAATACAGCCGAGGAACACCAGCACGCGATCGTCTGCGATACAGGATTCAAGAGACTTTAGACATTTGGCACGGGAATAATGGACTTTTCATACTTCATAATTCGGCTTGGGCTTTGGGCTAACCGTGGAAGTATTGTCGTGTAGATAGCGATCGGTGTCCGTGGAGCTGGAGGACTTCCCTTTCGATTAACAGCTGAGTAAATTCTGTCCGCTATTATTGTTTACCTTTTTGTGTGTGTGTAACTGTACTTGTATGTGTTAATTTAGTATGATTATTTGTTTTTACCATTAAAATTTGTTAAAGTTTTAATTCGTTTTGCCTGGTGTGTTGTTGTAAGTGTGTCATCGGGAGCCAAAAATAGCTTTGTGTATTCGGCACACGTTACACTGGAATGACGTTGAAAACTTTCAATAATGAATGGGTTAATCAAAACAGATGAAAACTAGAAATTTTGAGTACAGTAAAACGTATGAGAGAGAAAGAATTTTCATAGTTTTGAACAATCAAATTGGTTCCTTTTTATTATGATAAATGCTAAGTTGCTTGAAGCTGTCCTCTGTTAGTGCCCCCTATACACCTTTCTATCTACTTATCAAAGACTAGAATTTAAAAAAAAAAGAGGAAACGAATTAATGAACTTATTATTAATAAACATTCGTCACTCTTTTTTCAAGACCCTTTATTTTTCCCTTTTATTTTATCAAAGCTTTAAATATCTAAAACGTCAATATCTCAGGTTCTACAGTGAATTTATCATAAAAAAGTTATCAAACCAAGATCTGTTATTTATCATACCAATTATTTGAAGGAATATTGATCAATCTATACATTTTTTTTTTTCAAAGTGCGTTTATATGGTCGATATTAACGCACTTTGAAAAAATAATTATTTTTTTCAAAGTGCGTTAGCTTGGTCTCAAATTTTAACGCACTTTAAAAAAAATTTTCAAAGTGCGTAATTTTTCAAAGTGCGTTGTAACATACCATATATGCAATTGTTCTGTCCAGTAAGAGGAAACACCCTTTATAAGAGTAAATACAACGCAGAAATTAATTTCACTTACCAGATATAGAATATTGGATAATATTTTGCGAGTTTTCGAGGTCAGACACTGATTGAAGCATTGTTTTATTTGTTATTATTATATCGTTGCTAAGGTTCTCCACAGAAGTGTTCAATCTCAAAGATAACTGTTCATATTTGTCCTGCATCATTTTAGGAAATTTCATGTCCATTTCCAAAGTGTGTTTATTTAAGTCCAGAAGGGTCACTGACAGATACCGAACTTCCACTTTAAGATCCGCCAGGACTGCACTAGTGTTTGTTTCAAAACGTTCTCTTTTCTCTTCCAGTTGTTCCACAACCTGCTGAATGTATTCGTCGACTTTGGTAAAATTTTCTGTAACAACTCTGAAAGTTTCTTCATATCGCCTGTTTTCATGTTCAATTCTTTGGTTTTCCCTTTTCAGTTTCTCAACCTCCTGTTTTAAGGCAGTGAACTCTACATCTGTATTCTGCTGGGATGTTTCCAATGTCTCCATACTTTTCTTTAAATCCAGCATGTCCTTCATTAAGGCGTGAACGTTCTTCACCAGTGACATTCTGATGATTGTTTCTTGGTTCAGTAACTGTCGGAAGACATCAGTATTTTTGGAGTCAGGATCACTGATGTCCAGTAAAGATGAACTGTTGTCGCTGTTGTCCGTGAATATGGACAATCCATTTATTTGTATGAGAAAAGCAAACAATAACGTAAACAGCAGTGTTTGCTTCATCTTGAAAATCAGAGAAGTGAATGTAATCCAAGAGCATATTGAGCTTTATATACATTTGCATATAAACTTTGACCTTTTCTATTGTATGACACATGCGCAAGATGCAAATTCGTTAAAACATGAGTTGGCAAATATGAAAACTGTTTTCGACTTTTATTGACGTAAGTTAACTTCCTCTGTGATATTTTTGCTCTTTTTTATAAAACAGTTAAAATGAAACTCTTCTAGGAGTAAAATCCAGTTAGAGAGTAGTTGAAATGTACGTTTATCAATAGAAAAAACATCTACATCTATTAGGACATTTTCTTAACTATTAAAAATGTTATATTTTTATTGATTTTGTTTTAATATTTGATTTTATTTTGGAGGTGGGGTGGGGATGGGTGTCTTTTCCTTTTATAGATAAAATGAAATTTATCCTTAAATATATGACTGCTATTTTATTCATTGCTTAAGCCTTTATATCTTTAGCATTTGAAAAATGTTAACTTCCCGGTTAAAGTGTTTAAGGGAGAAAAATAATGCCTTTAAATGTAATAATAAACTTTTTACATAGACCGTGATAATTTTTGAGAAATGCTATTTTGTAACATCTTTTCAAGTTTTTTATATAAACCTTCATGTATTTTTCATGCAGTAAAAAGAATGAATTACGCATTGTCGACAACATTTAGTTTAGGATTCATAACATTCTAGTAATTTTGTTCATGATTTGATCTTTACAAATATTCCATTTATACTTTCCTCAATTACTACAACCCTCTTCACTCCTTTAGCACCATCCTTTTTGCTTTGAGTTAAAAAAAGAATTAAAAAGACAGTTATAAAGTGGAAACTCAGACAGTGTAGGGAAAAACCCAGCCGATTCATTATGTAAATAATGACCTTACTATTAGTATGTCATTATTTAATGACTGTTGAATCCTTAATCAACGTTTTTGTCAATATCTTACCCCGTTTTAAAAAAAAATGCTCATGTGTAGAGCATCTTCTTGCGTATCGATCAATTGAGAAACACTAATCCCATATGTATAAAATAAGGATATATTGGTACATAAGTAAGGAAAGTTGACGATTGAAAAGTTAGTCATCATGTTTGTCACAAGGAGTTGTTGTTAGCTGATCATAAACGTCTTTTTCTAATGAAATATGATGCTATACCCCTGGGCACTGATATAGAAAACCTACTGTCCGGCCGTGGGGGCGGTAAAGATCCCTGTACCTGGGTCGTATCCACCTCCAACGTTATTGAAGATCACAGGAAATACTAGTGTACTTCCACTTCCGGTTCCTCCTGCACCTGTTGTACCAGCTGTAAAGGCAATCTTCTTGGACAAGTCTGAAAGAATGTTATAATGCTGAGATGGTTTATCATTATACCGATATTTATAAGAAATACGTGATAATTGTTTCATTGCGAATTTCATGTTGAAGAGTTGTTCGATAAGGTATGATTCTTACATTAGGACCCCTGATTTATAGGAATTTGTGCAAACATTAAACACAATCTTTCTACCATTTCAAATTTTTTGATGATACTGCATTTATCTTTAAAACATTTACTGATGGATATTCATTTTCAGTAATAATAAGCTGAAGTAACATTTTATGCTGACTATGTTGATAAGCTTAAAAACTCGTAGGTGATTCTCAAGGAGACTGATTACTTACCCTCAACTCCTTTTAGCAAATTCTTATTCGCATTGATAAGGTGTTCTACTTTCCTTTATAGATCTGAATTTGATGAAGTTATCTCATCGATCATCTTCTCAGTTTTCTAATTCGCATTGATGAGGTGTTCCAATTTATTTCTCAGATCTTTATTTGTTGAAGTAATCTCATCGATCCACTTTTCAGTCTTCTGATTCCAATTGTTGAGGTGTTCCACTTTCTTCTTTATATCTAGATTTGATGAAGTTATCTCATCGATCCACTTCTCAGTCTTCTGATTCCCATTGTTGATGTGTTCTACTTTCTTTCACGGATCTTTATTTGTTGAAGTTAAGCTATCACTCCTCTTCTCAGTCAGAACTATGTATGTAATGAGAAAAGCAAGAAATTAACCTAGAAGAGCTTCTTGTAACATGTTGCCTATATGAAACTCCAAAGTATGAGGTTTTAAATTGATGGGCATTTAAATAGACAAACAATATTCAAATTCCTTTCATCATATTCATATATATCGGATTCCATAAACTCCTTTTTAGGGCATATAAAAGATAAGGGCAATTTCTCTCCTTTTCATTTAAAAGTTGAAAATATAATCTAAGTTTCTATCAGCTAAGTTCGTAAGTTCGTCAGCAATAAACCTTCATCACCTGCATTTCGGAGTGTATATATCTCAGTTGAATCGATACGCAAGAGCATGCTCTACGTATGAACAATTTCTGAAACGAGGTTAAGTATTGACGAACACGTTTATGAAACAAGAATATCAGCAGTTTTGTTTAAAGTCATCATTTTTTAAGTTCTATGGTCGATACAATGACCTTGACAGCAAATGCAATTTATTATTGAGTCAAATGCTTACTGACGTTTTTCATACCAGTTGTTAGTCCATTATTTATACATTGAAATGGCGAATGATTTTTCCCTTATTTCAAAATCATGACAAGGAGCATGCTGCGGGTGTGACCGGTCGGCAGGGGATACTCACTCCTCCATGGCTCCTGATCCAAACTCTGATAATTCGGAGGTCCGTGTTTGCTCTGCTCCTTATTTATATTGTTTTATGGACTTTGAAATTGAATACTGTTCGTTATCTCCCTGATCTTCTTCCATTATTTTTTCTATGTTTAACGTCTGTTTGCCCTTGGTTTTGACACCTACCCCAGATAAAAAAAAAATTACAATGATCATGCATTGTCTCGAATCGATCAATTTGGAAAAACAGTTAAAGTTATATAATTTTTTCTATATTTCTCGTAATCTGTCAAGTTAGGTTTATATACTTCGCAATTAATACTTAAATTTTCACAGAAATAAATATGTCAAGGAGAAAGCTAGAAATATAAACTCAAATTATCTAAATGACATCGCTCTTATGACTATAGCATATGTGCTTATCGCCTTGTGAAAGTTGGGGGGATAAATAGTTTAGCATGTATTTGAAGGAAAGGTAAACGGTAAACAGAGAACAAACCTGGTATTAACTGTACAAGAAAATCCCTTTTATTTTTCGGCAAATCTGAATTTAGGATTTTACCCTAATCAAGATTACTATAGCTAGTAATTAATTGATTGTATGTTGTTTTACGTCCCACTCAAGAATCTTATATTCATACAGAGACGTCATTATATGCCGGTAGAAGTCTTCTAATTTACTTTGAACTTAGTGACATTGAACAGTGAGGGTTCTTTATCATGCCAACGCCTTTCGTGACATGGGACCTCGGTTTTTCAGCTTTCATCCAATGGACCTGTTTCTTTCACTTCTTTTTTATAATTGAGTTTGAATGACTATACCTATATATACTGTATTCCGAAACTTCATAAACATCGTTACAGAGAAAGATGCATGATAGGTTCCAGTAAATGTTCTATCAAGCCTCTTTCTTTACTCCTAACTGAAATGTTACAGCAGTAAAGGAGAAACTTAGGAGTTCTGTACAACAGTATATTTCAGAAGCTAGTGGTGTAAATCAGACGTGGATGCTTTAAAAACTCCATGATTTTTTTTTTTAAAACTAAAAATCACAAATTAACAATCAATAATGTCAAAGTACACGACTTTTCAAAACTTTAAACAACCATCATTTTCCTGATAAATTATGATCAAGGCGTTTTGACATCACAGACAGCTGCTCTTTCAATATAAATGGACCTTGCTTATTTACTTACCTTGTCATTGGTCATTTGCAAAAATATTTTGTTAAAAAAACATTCTAATTGCAACACACAAGCATTCCGAAATTGGTTTGAAAAAGTTGCTGAGGTTTCTGATTGACATTTATTCTGTAGTTTTTGGAGATGAAGTCTTCCAACAATATTTCGGAATTGCACCCCTTTATTAACAAATTTAACAAACTTAACAAACCCATTTTAGCTCACCTGAGCCGAATGCTCAAGTGATCTTTTCTGACCACATTTTGTCCGTCTGTCTGTCCCTCCGTCCGTCTTTCTAGCTGTCTGTCTGTCTGTAACTTTTTCACATTTAAAACTTCTTCTCAAGAACCACTGGGCCAATTTTAACCAACCTTGGTATAAAGCTTAAGCATCTTTGCAGAAGGGGAGTTTAAACTGTTAAAATGAAGGGCCAAGTGCGTTCACAAAAAGAGATAATCAAGAAGAGATAAAACTAGGATGAGGTCATTAAAAATCTTCTCCTGAACCACGGGGCAAGAAAAGCTGAAACTTATGTGGAAGCATCCTAGGGTAGTGTAGATTCTAAATTGTTCTAATAATGACCCCCGGAGTTAGACAGGGCCACAATAGGGAATCAAAGTTTTACATAGAAATATAGGAAAAACTTTTAAAAATCTTCTTCTCAAGAACCACTAGGTCGATACAGCTGAAACTTATGTAGAAGCATCCTGGGGTAGTGTACATTCTAAATTGTTCAAATCATGCCCCCGGCAGTTTTGCAGGGCCACAATTGGGAAGTTTTACAGAGATATTGGTAAAGTTTTACATAGAAATATTTAGGAAAAAACTTTCAAAGTCTTCTTCTCAAGAACCGCTGGACCAGAAAAGCTGAAACTTAAGTGGAAGCATCCTGGAGTAGTATAGTATAGTATATGTAAGGGAAGTTACAATTGTTAAAATATAGGGCCAAGTGTCTTCACAAGGGGAGATAATCATGAAAAGATAAAACTAGGATGGGGTCATTAAAAATATTCTTCTCAAGAACCACTGGGACAGAAAAAGCTGAAACTTAAGTGAAAGCATCCTGGGGTATAGTTTATATTTCAAATTGTTCAAATTATGACCCCGGGGTAAGACAGGGCCACAATTTGGAATCCAAGTTATACATTGAATATATAGGAAACAAATTTTAAAATCATTTTCTCAAGAACTACTGGGTCAGAAAAGCTGAAACTTATGTGGAAGCATCCTTGGGTAAGGTAGATTCTGCATTCTTCAAATTATGACTCCCTAGGGGTAGGGTGGGGTCACAATGGCTTTTACCATGGGATTAATCGCGTATTATTGAGCCATCACTTCATCGACATCGCACTAGCGCAACATCACTGCTTCATCGTTATCGCTTCATCGTCACGGTATTATCGTGTTATCGCATTATCGGCCCAAACTTATATTGTGCAATGATGCGATAGTGAACTACGTGGCTCTTTCTTGATTCCTTACATTTCCCTTATATTACCCTTGTTTGACAATACTGCAACCAAATTCCGGGGGAGGGGGGCAACCGGACTTTTAATGAACCTTTCCTGTACAAAAACTTAAGTCTAGAAAAATAAGTGGTGGAGCCCAGCCCCCCCCCCCCCCCCCTTGATGCTACGTGCCTGTAAAGATAGTTTTTACAATGTTAACCGGCATTAGTTTTGTGAATCAAGGTTTGCAAAATAATTTGATAAACGGGCAGTCTTTTCTGGCCAACCAAAGTGGTTTGATATGCTACTGACTCTCACAATGCTGTATGACCCTGTGTAAGTATCGACCCTTATTCTGGAGAAGTTGTCTGTCCTTTTCTGACTGTACACATGGTTTCAAATAAATTGAAAAATGTTTCCTCAATATTTTTCTGTCATTTGTTTTCTACCTGACCTCATGGTCTACATTTCATTGTTCTTGTGATGCAATTTTTAGTACTTTCTTTTTATAGTATAATAATATATTATACAAACACACAAAGGAAAAACATCATGTTCTCTGACTAATGACTTGGTCGATTTTTATAATCATCATCTCTTCCTTTGCCACTTGTATCAATAAACTCTAATTGGTGCTGTGTCAAACTTTTGATTCTCAATTATTTTAATCAATGAATAAAATAATTTAAAGAAACCTTTATTGCAAGCAAGTATACAAATAATTTTAACTCTCAAGTGCTATTTGGCGACAAAAAACATACAAAAGCTAAGTATCAAATAGTTTTTCAGTTTTGGATTTACAATGCATATCATTTTAGATTAAGACAATAAAAATTGATGGATCTAATAATTATATACTTTTTTGATAGAAATTGCAAGCAAAGGAAAAGGAATTTTTATCGACGATACAACTGTCCGTTGCAACGTATTCTAAAAGACACATAAAAAGAGCAAATTTCCAAAACATGTAGTAAAATACATATTTTATAATTGCTAGTATTCTACGATAGCAAAATTGTTTGCATTAACAACAAAATTGTTTAAAATGTTTATGCTAGACTTAAAAGTGATAAGAACACCGATTGGTCTTAAATAAAAGATTAAAACTTCTGTTTTTAGTTTTGTAATATTTTAAAACATGATATCTGACCTGATCAGCTTTTAGCAATTCCTTCTGAAGACAACTTAAAATGAATTGAAAATAAAAACTTTTTTTCTTTACTTTTCACCTTACATTTATCATTTAGATTTAACAATGAAAGTTTGACTCCAAGAAAATACTAGCATATGATTTTACGGTATTCTTAACTGTAGTGATTCATTTTCAATCAAATTGCAACATATATTACTGTAAACCAACTTTTATTCGCGTGCGAGAAATTTTGGCGATGTTCGCGATAGCCTCCTCATCGCGAATATTTCTCGTCGCAAACCGGTCGTAGTTGTCAATTTACAACAGACCAAAAGGGCATGATCGCGAAAATTAATCGTCGCGACCTAGTTTATCTCTGGTAAATCGCGAAATAAAGTCGTCGCGAATAAAAGTTGGTTTACAGTATTCATTTGTAAAGGAACTTACATAATCATTGCCTATAGCATGCACATTGAACTTTTTAATATTTAATTACATGTGTATGAGAAAACCTGAGAATGTAGTAATAGGACCATCGTGGTAATAGCCAGTACCAGAGTAACGTTTGATCCACACCGCGTCTCCCTTCTGAATGTTCAGGACCACCAGATTGGGACCTGCATCGTAGTTAGTAAAGGCCATAGTTCTGACTTTAATTGATCCATTCAACACAATGTTTACATAAATATCATTTCCATTGTAACTCTGAACATTGACGAAGAAGACATACATCCCGGCGGTAGGAGCTGTAAATATTCCGTTACTCGGGTTGTATCCATTTCCTTCATTGGTGATAACAGCAGGAAATACCAGGGTATCACCTTTCCAAGAAGAGCTGCCGGAGGACATCGAGGCAGAAAAGGCTATATTCCTTGACTTACCTACAAATACTATTTAAGGTTTTAATATGTCTTAAATTGTCATTCTTTATGATTTAATTTTAAAATAATTAAACAACAGTAGGTTTAAAATTGTGTGGCTTTTTATGAGTTCAAATTTGCCACTCAATGATACATCCCTAGTAATGGAAGTGATGAGGTAACAAAGGGCTACTGTTTGAAGTTAAAGATATATTTATTAAATCTGGGATTTGCGATGAATCCCGAGGACTGGATATGAGGGAGTTGCATAGATACAAATGATTCAGCTGGTTGTCAAGAGGGTGTGTCCCCATTACAAACCAGATTATGCAGAATAATTTGCGTTCTTTTTGGAATTCAACCAATGAGAGGCTAGAATACAAATAAAATTAAATTATTTGAAATTGTGTGCAATCAATAAAAATATATTATAAAATATTAATTTCTGGACTGGGAAGATTTTTTAAGGTAGGATTCTTCTCATATTTCTTGTATTTAAAATTAATGAAATTTTCACAGAATTCAGAAGACAATATCACTATGTGATAATATCAGTGGGATTAAATTTTACCGTTAGAGGCAAGATCAGATCAAGGTAGTAACCTTTTTCCTGGACATTAATAATGATTAAAAGGAACTGATGATAATATTCTTTAATTAGAATATTTGCATGTTTTACTTTATATCTAATAACTATATTCAGATATACACAAGTTTTATATCACGCACTGTATTTACCCGAAACACTAATATCAGCAAAATTTCTAAAGCCAGAGTTTTGATATTGAAAACAAAGGTTAATACAAAATATGTTAAGGAAAAGAGTACGTATTAATATCTCTGTATTATTTAACATATCTATTTATATAAACTCTTCTTATTTATATTTTAACTACTGGATTATTACCAAACATAGTATTCGTCACATTCATTCGGAACACCTCGAGAGACGACACGGTAGAAGACAGCTGCAGTTTGTCATACTTAGATTGCTTGACTTCCGCCATCAAGTCGTCTAAGGTTTTATTGATGTCGACTGAAATGAAAATATTTGAAATATAAGGTGGTTGTGAATATCTCCATAATATACGTAGGAAGTACTCTCTGAAAATATTCAAAACTGTTTCACGGCCACTGAAATTTAAGGCAAAAAAGACGATGATAAACATTTCTGAATAGCACTAAAAATCAAATCACTACACAAAATACTCAAATCATTATTTTAGTCTTTTTGAATGCAAAGAGTCTACAACGTAAGATTTTTTTACTCCCATTTCAAAAAATTGAACGGATGTTGAAACTCAAACAGAAATTCAGTGAGTAATAGAAGGCAGTACTATCGAAATTCGTGTAAAACATTCTGAAAAGAAACGCTGGGAGAGCTTTTGAGGTGAAATAATTTTATTATACTTTTTGTATTTTTCAGTATTCCTATTTAACGTTTAACATCATCTTTAAAGAAAATATAACCAAAAGTCCTTTTGATTTTGCCTTATAATTCATGGGTTATTGAAACTCAAATAAAGATACCCTTAAAAATGAAAATCGAAATCAATGTTGCTCTCGCACATCTCTAAAAGCCTTGATTTTCCTTTGCATGGAGTTCATCAGAGCGTTTGTCCTTCAAATAGGAATACATGTAAATTATTCAAACCTATCAACAAGGCAAGTGTAATCTTGCCAAAAGAAATTAGGCAAACGACGTGCGCATGTGCCAGTAAGAGGAATACCAACATAAAGTTGACGAACTCAAAAACTAGTGTTAGGATGAATGTATTAATTATGATGTCTACTGTATTAATAGCACTTTTTTGTGGGAACCATTCCAGGTCCTCTCTCACTGCGGATAATTCGTTCTGAGGGGAAAAATACAATAAACTGCACAGCAAAACCATTAATGCCTTTGTCCTTCCTCCTTGGGCAATGTAAAACCAAATCCCATTGCACTTCTGTCAGCGATACCAAGATGTCAAGAAATTTACATCGTCTGTAAATTTGAAAACCAAATATGTTTACCTTTTAAGTGCATCAAATGGTGCAACAAGATGTGTTAACAAACTTGTCATCATCATTTTGCGCGTCTTTTGGGGAATTTTTTTTTTGCTCGTTCCATAAATGACGTCATACATTTTCCGGTTGAGTAATTTTGACTGATTTTGGTGCATAGTAACGACGATGCTCAGCTGACCAGTTTTCATAATTTTCGGTGTCATGCTGTCATTAAAAATTGGCATATTATGCTGCCCTGTATTTCTTTTTCTTTCAGTATAGGTTTTTTGTCAAGAATTCATTATTTCATAATTTTTGGAGGAAGTCTCTATATCTGAATTAGATGCAACTTTGTCTTTAAAACATAAGCCTGTAACATGTGTAACACAGAAGAAATTCCTAGAGAAAGGAACAAGTGGCCATATTTGACTAACAAGAAAACGTTAATGTCCAGTACATTTTGCAACATATGCTTCGTATGGCTATGATAAATGTTCTCTTTAGATTGATTCACGCAACATTATTTTTTTCCATCAACCTGAAGAAGCTTGACTATGTTCAGAATATGAAATAATACATGTACAAAAATGCAATGGTGAATATTTTTTCCTTTAACGCCCTTATTTCTTTCCTAAACATATTCTTCATGTGTCAAGATAAACATTTAATGAGGCCGAGTCTAATTCGAGTACGTATGACTTTGCGCAGCATTCAAGTCATGCATTCATATTTGCGACAGTATACCTTTGCCAAAATTTGTTATTTTAATACAAAATATAAATTATCTATAACTCTTTTTGGTCAAAAAATGTTATTTCATAAATTAGGAAAAAGGCGAAATGGCTCTAACAAAGTCACTGTTTTGCTGCTTTCCTGAAGAATGACACATGTCTCGCTTGTATGTACAAGACGTCCTTGGATATTATGCTGAAAACTAATGATAGATTATTTAAAGAAACATACTAGCAATCTTATCTTGCTTTTTTTTACCACAGAAAACCATATGCGCCGATAATTCACCTGCACCGATTTTTTTTTTTACCGCAATATGGCAATTTTAGAGATATTGGGCTTTGAAAAAATAAACCTTGTAATTAATTCCTAGACCAACCTGGATAGTCAACTTTTTTGAAATTTCACATTACGGTGACTTTTTACAATAATTTTCATCTACTTGAATGAAAAAAGAAACCAGTCTAGGCCAGAAATACAAAAAATATTGAAAAAATATTATAATTTGACAACTTTCAATATGGCCCCCTAAAATTCGGGATGGTAATTACTCGATTTTTTAATCTTAAAACAATAAATATAGCAGTAAAAATTACTGTAATTAACAAAAAATTATCAAAATCTGTAGTTTACAAATAATTAGACTTGGTCTCGTTATTTTAATATGAAATGTTCTTTTGGAAAGGTAATCTATACAAATCAAAAGGAAAATAATTAACTTACCAGATATAGAATTTTGTAAAATATTTTTTGAGTTTTCGAGGTCAGAAACTGACTTCAACAGTGTTGTATTTGTTGTCATTATATCATTATTCAGGTTTTCCACAGTAGTGTTCAATTTCAAAGATAACTGTTCATACTTTTCCTGGATCATTTCTGGAAATTTTCTGTCCATGTCCAAAGTATGTTTATTCAAGTCCAGAAGAGTCACTGACAGGTACCGAACTTCCACTTTAAGATCTGCCAGAACTCCACTAGTGTTTGTCTCAAAGCGTTCTCTTTTCTCTTCCAGTTGTTCCACAACCTGTTGAATGTGTTCGTCGACTTTGGTGAAATTTTCTGCAACAGCTCTGAAAGTTTCTTCATATCGCCTGTTTTCAAGTTCAAGTCTTTGGTTTTCTCTTTTTAGTTTATCAGCCTCCTGTTTTAAGGCGGTCACCTCTACGTCTGTTTTCTGCTGGGATGTTTCCAATGTCTCCATGCTTTTCTTCAGATCTATCATGTCCTTCATTAAAGCGTGATAGTTCTTCACCAGTGACATTCTGATGATTGTTTCTTGGTTCAGCAACTGTCGGAAGACGTCTGTATTTTTGGAGTCCGGATCACTGATGTCCAGTAAAGATGAACTGTTGTCGCTGCTGTCCGTGAATATGGACAATCCATTTATTTGAATGACAAAAGCAAACAATAACGTAAACAGCAGTGCTTGATTCATCTTGAAAATAAGAGAAGTGATAGCGATCCAAGAGAATATTGAGCCTTTTATACATTTGTATATAAACTTTGACCTTTTTTATTGCATGGCACATGCGCAAGATGCAAATTCGTTAAAACATGAGTTGTTTGATTTTAAAAATGTTTTCTTCTTTTATTGACGTAAGTTAACTTCCTCTTTAATGTTTTTGATTTTTTATCATAAAGTTAAAAGAAATTCTTATAGAAGTAAAAACCAGATAAAGATTATTTGAAATGTACGTTCATGTCAATAGAAAAAGCATCGATGACGACATTTTCTTAAGTATTGAAAATGTTTATATTCTGATTGATTTTTTTTTATCATTGTATTTTTGGGGGTGGGCTTTGGGGGAGGGTCTTTTCATTCTATAGAATAAAAAGGGAAGTTTATCCCACAATTAATGACTGCTTTTTATACTCCTTGCTTAGGTCAAAAGGGACATGGACACATTTTCAACTGATTTTTAAAAAAAATCAATGTTAATGTTCATAATTCCTAATTATAATTAAGCTATTCAAATGATCAGCAAAATTTGAACATCAATTGTTGAATTACACAATAGATACAGAACATAAATTCAGAACATAAAGCGCGTACCTTGTTATTGTTTACATATAGAAAATATCATGTTTATAACGAAACAATTTTCAGTAAATCACAAGAAACTGCATCATGGTATATAAAATTAACTTTTTTGTTGAAGAAGGATAAGGAGATAACGAACAGTATTCAATATCAAAATCTATAGAACAATACAAAATAGGAGCAGAGTAAACACCACCTCCAATACATCAGAGGTCGGTTCAGGTGCCATGGAGGAGTGAGCATCCCCAGCTGACCTGTCACATCCACCGTGTGCTCCTTGTCATGATCGAGAAATAACGGAAAAATTCGTCGTCAATTCAGTGTATAAATAATGGACTAATAATTAAAATGAAAAACATCAGTCAGCATTTGACTCAATGATAAATTGTATTTACTGACAAGGTCATTGTTCCGACCATAGAACTTTCGAAATGATGACTTTAAACGAGACTACTGATATTCTTGTTTCGTCAACTTGCTTGTCAATAATTTACCTCGTTTTAGAAATTGTTTATATATAAATCATGCTCTTGCGTATCGAATCAACTGAGATATATATACTCCGTATGCAGGTGATGAAGGCATACTGCTGCATAAGTAAGGGAAGTTGACGATAGAAAAGTTAAAGGCATCACGTTTATCATAAAGCTTGGTTGTTAGATAACCATTAACGTCCTTTTCAAAAAAAATATCCAAGTATAAAAAACATCTGCATATTAGTATATTTAACCCATGTAATATTATCTAATTACCCTATGGACCTAATCAGCTTGAAAGGATTAATCTTGTACGGTGTCGTCTGTTAAACTTGTAAGCATGTGCTTTTTTTAACTCGTTTCCGGTTAGGCTTATTACACAAATATACACAAATGTCAGCAGGGGATGTTCACTCGTCCATGGCACCTGATCCCACCTCTGATGTTTCGGAGCCCAGCAGGCACACAGCATTGAAAAGAAACTTTGAATCAGAGTTGATTATGTGGATTCAACGTTTAGTTTATGTTAGATTTTGAAAATTGAGTTCAATTTTAGAATCTTAACGTTGATTCAATGTTGAAAATCAATGTTGATTAGACATTGAATAAAAGTTATTTCAACATTGTTGTTTTTTCTCCAGTTTTTCCGGGAGGTTGGGGGGGATCCATTACTTACTCAAAATTTCAACCGTTTACTACAGGTTACTAAGATGCCTTCATAATTGTATAAAGGAAAAATTACGGTATATGAAAAAAATCTATATATTGTAAATATGTATTTTACTCCCTATCAATAGAATTTTATAAAATTCCTATATTTACCATCCTTGTTAGTTATAACATTTAGTAATGATGAATGGTAGTGCGACTATGTCAAGTCCGACCTCGTTATGGCCTGACAGTGTTATAGTCCGACACTATTATAGTCCGAATTATCTATCAGCGAGATATAGTATTGGACCGCTCAGCGAAAATTCGACGTTGAATCAATGTTTGCAATTTAACGCAATTCGAAATCAATGTTGATTCAACGTTAAATTTTCAACGTTGAAAAGTCAACGTTGAATCAATATTGTATCTAGATTTATCAACGTCTAAACCCAACTTCAACTTATATTCAACGTTTAAACAGCGTTGTGTGCCTGCTGGGAGGCCTGTGTTTGCTCTGCTCCTAATTTGTATTGTTTTATGGACTTTGAAATTGAATACTGTTCGTTATCTCCATAAACTTTTTCCAGTTTTTGTCTATGTTTGACGTCTGCTTGCTCTTGATTTTTGAGACCTACCCCAGAACAAAAAATAGCACAAAGATCATGCATTGTCTCGAATTGATCAAATCGGAAAAGTTATATTATAAATTTTCTGTTTTTCTCGTAATCTGTCAAGTTAGGTTTATATACTTCGAATTAATACTTACATTTTGCACAGGAATTAGTATGTCAAGGAGAAAGCTAGAATTATAGACTCAAATTCTCTAAATGACGTCGCTCTTATGACTAAAGCATTTGTGTTTTTTGCCTTGTGAAAGAAGTGAGGGGTTGAATAGTTTAGCATGTATTTGACAGAAAGGTAAACGGTAAACAGAAAACAAACCTGTAATTATCTCTACAAGAAAATCCCATTCATTTTTTGGTAAATCAGAATTTAGTATTTTATCCTCATCAAGTAGTAAACTAGTAAATGATTGATTGTATGTAGTTTTACGTCCCACTCAAGAATCTTATACTCATACAGAGACGTCATTTTTTGCCGGTAGAAGTCTTCTAATTTACTCTGAACTCGGTGAAATTGAGCAGTGAGGGTTCTTTATCATGCCAACGCCTATGGTGACATGGGAACTCGGTTTTTCAGCTTTCATCCAATGGAACTGTTACTTTCACTTCTTTTTTATGATTGAGTTTGAATGACTATACCTATATATCCTGGATTCCTAAACTTCATAAACATCGTTTTTACAAGAAAGATGTTTTGATAGGTTCCAAAATGTTCTATCAAGCCTCTTTCTTTACTCCTAACTGAAATGTTACAGCAGTAAAGGAGAAACTTAGGAGTTTTGTACAACAGTATATTTCAGAAGCTAGTGGTGTAAATCAGATGTGAATGCTTTAAAAACTCCATGAAATTTTTTTTAAAAAAACCTAAAAATCACAAAATAATAATCATTAATATCAAAGTACACTACTTTTCAACACTTTAAACAACCATCATTTTCCTGATAAATTATGATCAAGGCGTTTTGTTATCATAGACAGCTGCTCTTTCAATATAAATGGACCTTATTTATTTACTTACCTTGTCATTGGTCATTTGCAAAAATACTAGTAGTATTTTGTTAAAAAAATATTCTAATTGTAACACACAAGCATTCCAAAATTGATTTGAAACAGTTGCTGACGTTTCTGATTGACATTTATTCTGTAGTTTTTTGAATTATATACTTTTTAACAATATTTCAATCAAAAGAAAAGCACCCCTTTTTAACAAATTTAACAAACTTAACAAACCCATTTTAGCTCAACAGACACATAAAAAGAGCATATGCTAGTATTCTACTGTAGCAAAATTGTTTGCTAGCTGTCAAAGTTGTTTAAAATTTTCACATTTAAAACTTCTAAAAATACTATTGGTCCAATTTTAACCAACCTTGTTTTTAAGCATCTTTGCAGAAGGGGAGTTTGAATTGTTAAAATGAAGGGCCAAGTGCCTTCACAAGAGTAGATAATCAAGAAGAGATAAAACTAGGATGAGGTCATTAAAAATCTTCTCCTGAACCACGGGGCAAATTTAACAGTTAAAATAAACTTATGTGGAAAAATGCATCATGAAGATGTATTCTAAATTGTTCTAATCATGACCCCCGGGGTTGGACAGGGCCACAATAGGGAATCAAAATTTTACATAGAAATATATAGGAAAAACTTTTAAAAATCTTCTTCTGAAGAACCACTGGGTCAAAACAGCTGAAACTTATGTAGAAGCATCCTGGGGTAGTGTACATTCTAATTTTTTTCAAATCATGACCCCCGGCGGTTTTGCGGGGCCACAATTGGGAAGTTTTACAGAGAAATTGGTAAAGTTTAAGATAGAAATATTTAGGAAAAAACTTTAAAAGTCTTCTTCTCAAGAACCGCTGGACCAGAAAAGCTGAAACTTAAGTGGAAGCATCCTGGGGTAGTATAATATAGTATATATAAGGGGAGTTAGGGCCAAGTGTCTTCACAAGGGGAGATAATCATGAAAAGATAAAACTAGGATGGGGTCATTAAAAATCTTATTCTCAAGAATCACTGGGACGGAAAAGCTGAAACTTAAGTTGAAGCATCCTTGGGTATAGTTTATATTTTAAATTGTTCAAATTATGACCCCTGTGGCCCCCTCAATTTGGAATTTAAGTTTTACATTGAAAAATATAGGAAACAAATTTAAAATCATTTTCTCAAGAACCACTGGGTCAGAAAAGCTGACACTTATGTGGAAGCATCCTAGGGTAGGGTAGATTCTGCATTCTTCAAATTATGACCCCCTAGGGGTAGGGTGGGGTCACAATGGCTTTTACCATGGGGTTTAACGCGTATCATTGCGCCATCACTTCATCGACATCGCGCAACATCGCCGCTTATCGTTATTGCTTCATCGTCACGGTATTATCGTGTCATCGCATTATCGGCCCAAACTTATATTGTGCGATGATGCGATAGTGAACTACGTGGCCCTTTCTGGATTCCATACATTTCCCTTATATTACCCTTGTTTGACAATACTGCAACCAAATTTCGGGGGGGGGGGGGGACCGGACTTTTAATGAACCTTTCCTGTAGAAAAACTAAAGTCTAGGAAAATAAGTGGGGGATTTGTAAAGGAACATACATAATCAATGCTACGTGCCTGTAAAAATAGTTTTTACAATGTTTATCGGGATTA